CCTGGCTCCTGGCACTCACTCTATAGATGAGGCTGACTTTGAACTGACAGAGATCCGACTGCCTCTGCTTCCCAAGTGCTGGGATTAATGGTGTGCACCACCACCGCCAGGCTCTGGTTAGTTTTTTTTTTTTTTTTTTTTTTTTTTTTGTTAACACAAACTAGGGTCGTCTGGGAAGAGGGAACCTCAGTTGAGAAAATATCTCCATCAGATTGGTGGGTAGTCAAGTGTGGCGGTTTGAATGAGAATGGTCCCCAAAGACACATATGTTTGCATACTTAGTTCCCAGTTGGTAAAACTGGAAAGGATTAGGTGATGTGGCCTTTGGAGGATGTGTGCCATGAGGGCTGGCATTGAAGTTTCAAAAGTCCAGCCCAGCCCAGTCTCTCTCCCTGCCTGCTGCTTTCAATGTGAGCTCCCAACTACTGCTCCAGTGCCATCCCTGCCTGCTGGTCATGGACCCTAACCCTCTGCAATAGCAAGTCCCCAATAAATTCTATTATAAATTGCCTTGGTCACAACGTCTTATTACAACAATAAAAAAGTAACTAAGACAATAAGTTTGTGGGGACATTTTCTTTATTCAGTATTGATGTGAGAGGGCCCAACACATTGTGGGCAGTGCAGCCCCTAACAGAAGGTCCTGGGTTATATAAGAAAAAAAAAAACCCAAGAGGCTCATTCATCCATGGTCTGTGTTTCAGGCCCTAATTCCAGGTTCCTGCCTTGAAGTCCTGCCCTGACTTCTCTCAACGATGGACTATAGGCTGTAAGATGAAATAAACTTTTTCCTCTCTGAATTTCTTTTGGTCATAGTGTTTATCATAATAGAAAGCAATCTAGGACATAAACCTGACTTAAAAATGACTCTCTCCAGGGACTCAGGATGTAGAGGCAGGTGGATCTCTGTGCATTCAAGGCCAGCTTGGTCTGCAGAGCAAGTTCTAGGACAGCCAAAGATACACAGAGAAACTAAAAAGAACAAAAACAAAAACAAAAAATAACTATTTAAAATTTTTCTTTTGACTTTTCGAGACAGGGTTTCTCTGTGGCTTTGGAGCTTGTCCTGGAACTCGATCTTGTAGACCAGGCTGGTCTCGAACTCACAGAGATCCACCTGCCTCTCCTCCCGAATGCTGGGATTAAAGGTGTGCACCACCATTACCTGACAAAAATTTTTTCAAAAAAATTCTGTGTGGGGGTATATGCATGCAAGGGTGCAGGTTCTCAAGAAGAGAAGAGGGCATCAGATACCCTGGAGCTTAGGTTACAGTCAGCTGCCCAAGGTAGGTGCTGGGAACCAGTTAGGGTCCTTTACAAGAGCTGTACCAACTCTTAACCATTCAGCCCAAAAAGGATTTTCAAACTGAAGACACCCAAATGTTCAGCATATGAAAAGGTAGCATTACTACAGTTTAGTACATTACTACAGCTTTCTTGGACAGCCACTCCCCAAGTCATGACATGGAGACTTATTATGAATGTTTGGCCTTAGCTTAAGCTTGTTTATTTTTTAAATAATTATTTATTTTTGTGTGTGTATTAATGGTTTGCCTGCATGTATGTCTGTGTGAGGGTGGTGGATACTGAAGTTACACACAGTTGTGAGCTGCCATGTGAGTACTGGGAATTAGACCCAGGTTCTTTAGAAGAGCAGTCAGTGCTCTTAACTCCTGAGCCATGTATCCAGCCCCTTAAGGTTATTTCTTAGCTAGTTTTTTTTAACTTATATTAACCCATTTCTATTAATCTATGGACTGCCCCAGGCTCATTTACATCATCTATATATTGTCCTGCTTCCTCTGTGTTGGCTGGCCCCCGGGTCAGATGACCTCCTCCCCACTGGTTCTGGTGAGCTGGCTGGTTTTCCTTTCTCTCTGTCTGCCAGCACCACTTATTCCTCCTCTGTCTAGCTATTGGCAGTTCAGCTTTTTATTAGACCAATCAGGTGCCTTAGGCAGAAAAGGTGAAACAGCAGCACATCTTTACATAGTTAGACAAATGCAGCATAAACAAATGCAACACATCTTTACATAGGTAAATATTATATTCCACAACACTACAGGAGAAAGAACTGTAAAACAATAGAAAGGGATGTCACCACAGCACCACCAGAAAAGCTAAGTTTAAAGACCAACAGTGTCAAGTCTTGTGAGGTGTAGAACAACCACGATCCTCATATAGTGCTGGTAGAATATAACACTTCTATCCAGGCTAAAAATAGTTTAGTAGTTTCTTAAAAAGAATAGTACTAGTAGGGCATGGTGGCACATGCCTGTAATCCTAGAAGTTGTGAGGTAGAGGCTTGTGAGCTGAAGACATCACTGGCTACATTGTAAGACTTGATCATAACACAATCTTAATCTATGAACCAGAAATTCCACTTGGAATTTTTGGAAGAGCAATCAGTCTACAAAAAGACTTGGGTACAAGTGTTTTTCTAAACATTAGCTTAATGTACAATTGGCACAAGTTAGAAACAACTCAAGTATCCACTAAAATTTGTTTTTTCCCAGATAGATTTCTCTGTGTAACAGCCCCAGCTGTCCTGTAATTTGATCTGTAGACCAGGATGGCCTTGAACTCACAAAGATACACCTGCCTCTGCTAGGATTAAAGGTGTGAACATTTAAGGGGATTAGGGACAGCTCAGTCAATGAATGTGGTCACATAAGCATGACACCCTTAGTTTGGATCCCTAACACCCAAGTAAAAGTGAGGCACGTGCCTGTAACCCCACCACTGTGGGGGTGACAGGAATAGTCATGTCCTTTAGTTTAGTGACCTTCTAGTTTAGCCGATGGGTGAGCTCCAGTTTCAGTAAGAGACCCTATCTCAAAAGTAAGGTGGAAAGTGTAGAGGAAGACATCCATCATTGAACTCTGACCTACACACACACACACACAGGAGAATAAACATTAATATATTCAGGTGTTAATTTTCTTCCCATTTCGGTGCTATAACCAGAAGCAACTTGGGAAGGAATAAGTCCCAGGTCCCATGCCAATGAGAGAAGTCAGGTCAGAACTGAATCGGAGGCCACAGAGGAGTGCTGCTCACTGGCTTGCTCCCCACAGCTTGCTTAGCCTGCTTCCTTATACAATCCAGGACCACCTGCCCAGGGTAGGTACTGCCCACTCCCCCATCAATCATGAATCAAGAAAATGACCCACAGACTTGCCTACCCCCTCATCTGATGGAGGCATATTTTTTTCAATTGAGGTTCCATTTCAGATGACCCTTGCTTGAGTCATGCTGATAAAAACTAATGAGCACAGATCATAAATATTGACATCAATCAATGTATACAGAATGATTTCCAAAATGGGGACCAGTGTTAGACTTAACAGTGTACATGCTATTTTTGAAATGACATTCAGAGATAGGCTCAAGTACTGTGGTGTATAGATCACACAGGCTTGAGGCCAGTCTCAGCTACATAGTCTGAGGCTAGACTAGGCTGCAGAGGGAAACCCTGACTCCAACAATCAGGGCATTTGAGTGCAGGTGCCTGTCACCAAACCAGACAGCCTGTTTGGTGGGAGGGGGAACTGAGGATGCACGCTGTCCTTGCTCTCCATGTGATGCTCACTAGCTACCCTCCCTGAATAGAGATTTTAAAATGTAATACATATCAGGAGGCAGACGTCGGCAGATCTCCGTGAGTTCCAGACCAGCCAGGACTACACACTTGTCTCTAAATAAATAAACAACAAGTGAAAGTAATTTATGGTGATAAAAGTCAAAATAGGGGTCACTTCTGTTTTCTTTTTGGAGATATTTAGTGTGCTAGGATGTGCCACATTTGAATTGGTGGATACGAATCTGAACATTTAAGATGTGGGCACTTTATGTAAACTATAACTCAAAAGAAACAGCAAAGCAAATTGTGTATCTAGGAAGTTTTAAGGAGAACTTTGTGTTAAAACTTCACGAAGAGCCGGGCGGTGGTGGCGCATGCCTTTAATCCCAGCACTCGAGAGCCAGAGGCAGGCGGATCTCTGTGAGTTCGAGGCCAGGCTGGACCGACAATACAGAGAAACCCTGTCTCGTAAAACCAATAAAACCAAAAAAACAAAAAACAAAACAAAACAAAAAAAAACTTCACGAAGAAAAAAACTTCATGAAGATTTATCAATTGATAAAACTATACTTGAGAAAATCTAAAATCAATATTTTAATTGTTACAAAGACTGAAAATAAATGGAGTCTATATTCCAATAAACGTAGGAATTAACAAAATCAGAACTAAGAAGAAAGCTGAAAAGGAAAAATGCAAGAAAATGAGTAAGAGAAATGTTTCTTTGAAAGTGTGAGAGCAACTAAAAGGGTTTGGAGACTATCTGGGATGCCCTGGAGGGACGCGCGCAGGGAGTGTGTGTGGGGGTGTTCTTGTGATCTTTTTTTCTTTAAACTTCAGTATTCTGCAAAAGCATACATGTAGAATATAATCCTGGATCCATTCATTTACCTAAAATTGAATACAAAATCCGGGCCCGGGAATGTGGCTCAGTGTAAAGGGCTTGCACAGTACTCTATTCCCAGTTCTGCAAAAACAAAAATAGAAACAAAACAAAATCTTGACCATCAATCAAACGGATTCCAGCTGTCATTTATGCTTCAAATAGCAAGTGCCAGACCATTTACGTACGTTAGCTCATATTAGGTGCATGATGGCTTCTGCAAGTGTCACCACCTAGGAGACCAAGTTGCCCAAGCTTGTCAGCTCTGATGTGGCTATGCATTGAGGCCTGACGTAGGCCTCCTCAGGTCACGAATGTATGATTGGCGCTGATCAAACCCGCACGACGACCTGCAAGCACAGGTGGAGGCGCGGTCTCGTTAGACCCTCCTCAGCACCAAGAGCACACAAGCCCGGGGTCTCCCACTGAAGACAGGCCGCGGTAGTCAGGTCCAGAGCTCGTGCGCCGCGCACCACCCCCGGGGCTTTCAGGTTGTCAGAGGCGGGGACGCGCATCAGCCGGCGGGGACGCGCAGAGCTGAGAGGCCTGTGCGCCGAGCTAAGGGAGGCATGCGGCGGACGCGGAGTGCCGTGGCCACCGATCAGCGGGAGCAGCGGCGCTCGGGTGCCTCCGGGGGCCTGGCCGGCGGCGAGAACCGCGCGCGGCGCTCGGGGAGCACGGCTCGGGCCGGGGGCGGGGGCGGGGCTACCGGTTCGCAGCGGTCGGCAAAGCCGCGGCCCAAGCCGCCGCCGTCGCCGCCGCCGCGGGCCCAGGAGGCGGCCGCCGAGGAGCCGCCGCCGGCGGACACCCCCTCCGCCTCGGTGTCTGCGCTCGACCTAGGGGAGCAGCGGGAGCGCTGGGAGACGTTCCAGAAGCGGCAACGGCTCAGCTTCGAGGGCACCGCCAAGCTGCTGCTGGACACCTTGTGAGTGTGGCGGGGGCGGCGGGCCAGCACCTGCGAGGTGCGCATCGGCGGCGGCGGGACCCAAGGTTGGGTGCGGAGCCGGGGGCCAGGCGCCCGCTGCCCCGCCTTTGCTACTCTGGACGGTGTCCGGCCGAATGCGCAGGAGGGCCTCTCTGGGTGAAAAGGACAGACATCCCACAGTTTTCCTGCTACCCAGACCGTTTTTACTCGTGTTTGCACGTGCTTTCGGAGGGTGGGCGGGAAAAAGGTCGAAGTAGAGAATTTAGCAGCCTTGGGAGCGAAGGCCCGTTGTTCCCGGGAGGGAGAGTGCGGGTTATTGATCCCGGAGGGAAGCGCGCGCAAAGCGATGTCTTCGACCGACGCGTGCGAGAGGGAATGGGAAACTCAGGCTTTGTGCTCTCATCCCGGGCCCGGGGTAGCAGGCTTTACTTCCATCTGTGCTTCTGAAGTTCCTTCAGCTTCTTAGATGGCCTACGGAGCATCTCAGAGGTCTTTTACTGGGAAAAGAGCTGTTAACTACTCTGGCCAGAACTGCCTCCTCTTTCCCAAATGGGATGTGCACCCCTTCTTCCTTTAACCATTGTGCTACAAAGAAATACTGAGTATCCTAGCCATACAGGCTCTCATTCGCAGTTGAACAGAAAAAGAACAATAAAAGACGGAGAAAACTAACATTAACTTAACAATTGCTTAAAAATTTGAACTACTTTTCATAAACAGGAAGATGTTCTTTTGTCTTTGTTCCAGAAGAAGTTCTCTTGGTTTTGGTGCATCCTCTCAGAAACGGACTATTTATTTAGATTTCTTTGTGCTTTGCTTTTTAGTTTTATCCCCTTGGGCTATAAATTGAATACTTTAAAATATTAATTCAAAGCAAAAGCCAATTAAAAATTAAAAAATAACATTTGTTAAATACCTGTTGTGTTAACTAGCTACTGGGAGGTCTAAGCGATACTCTACAAAGATCCGTGGGGCTGGGCACAGTGGCACATGCCTGTAATCCTAGTATTTTGGAGGCGGAGGAATATTCTTTCAAGGCCAGCCTGGGCTACAGAAACATCCTTTCTCAGATTCGAGAGAGAAAGAAGGAAAGGAAAGGAGAGAAAAGGAAGGGAGGGAAGGAAGAAAAGAAAGGAAGGAAGGAAGAAAGAAAAAGAAAGGGAGAAAGAGAGAGAGAGAGAGAGAGAGAGAGAGAGAGAGAGAGAGAGAGAGAGAGAGAGAGAGAGAGAGAGAGAGAGAGAGAGAGAGAGAGAGAAGAAAGACAGGCTGGCTGGCAGGAACAATCCAGGGGTACATCGTGCTCCTTGTCTGTAAACCCGGTGCCTGGAAGGTGGAGGTGGGCAGAGCTGAGCGTTCAAGGTCATCTTGGTCTACATAGTTAATTTGAGGTCAGCCTAAGCTGTATGACACAGTCTCAAAACGAAATAAACAAGAAAGCCCCAATCCTTCGATGCACAAAGCAAAAATTTGAGTTAATATTTTCCCTTAAAACAAACTGATAATGATCTAGGAAAAAAGTACCAAAAATATTGGCACGAAAAGATGAGTTTCATTCACCAGATTTGCATACTGTATGCTTGTTTACATTTACTTTTATGTTCTCTAACTAACTTGTTTTTGTGCCAAGAAAGTGTATGTTATATACACTAACGATTTTGTTCAAATATTGCATAGAAAAAAGTTTGGAGAAATGTATAGCCAATACAGGCTCTTTTTTGATGGAATGACCATAGGGGTTCTTGTGTTACTAAATATGATAATGTTTGTATTTTTTTATAATATACATTGTAGAAGAAGAAGAAATTGAGATGTTAGCTTGTTAGAGAAACCTGGGAGAGCATTCAGTCTTGCTATTAATCAGATAGCAAAGTAAATCTGCAGTGAGCTGTTTTTCTGGGGGTTATTGCTCAGAAGTCATGGTGAAATGTTTTCTCATTTATTATTGGCAAAAATACCTAGTCTTTTGGGGAAGAGGCTTCCTGATGTTCGTTGAATCTCAATGTTTGGTTATGGAGCTGGCTCCAATTGTGTATAGAGTTGTGTAAAAAGTCATTTACTTGGGAAGTACTGGAGGAGAGTGAATGGAGTTAGAAAAGCCTTTGTTATCACCCCTGAAAGCTTTGCAAGACAGTAGACCCAACTGGGCAACCTGTCTTGCTTTTTCCTAACCCCTCTACTGTCTTTATTACAATCAAAATTAAGTATTATTTAGTCAGTTTGCTTGGTGACTGCTTAAGGTTGGTAAGGACTCTACTTGGTACTTAGCTTATAAATATTTTTTTAACTAGTCGACATGTAAATACAATGTTTGGGGAGGGGAGGAACTAGGCTTCTCTATCTTCATATTTACCAAATTCTGGGCATGTTTTATTTTGTAGTCTTATAAAATTCAAGACAGTTCACAGTGAAACTACTGAACCTCTTTTATGAAATGTACCTGGTTGTTCTATAAAAAAGACTTTTGTCTAAGCCTGGCTTTCTTTTAAGAACAAAAAGACAGCATGAAGGATCCATGCCATAAGGCCCCTGCTTGCCTGTTAGAAATTCTTATGCTCTAGTTTTTATTTCGTTTAGTGAGTACCAGGGCCTGGTGAAGCACACAGGAGGCTGCCACTGTGGAGCAGTTCGTTTTGAAGTTTGGGCTCCAGCAGACTTACACATCTTTGACTGCAAGTGAGTATTTTATCTTTCCAAATTGCCTTAGAAGACTTGAGGAGCAAAGAGGCTGAGTTTCAGCCCAATCTGGGGAGTCGGGGTATAGATGAAACAGTGTTGGCGGTGAGCTGATAACTGTTACATCAGGTACTGGGAACATAAAGGTTCATTGTTTTGTTCTTTCCCCTTGTGTGTATGACTTGGAGTCTTCAGTGATAACTAAAAAGATTATTATATGCTATACACTTAGTATGTGTGTAGGTCAGTGGACAGCTTGTGGGTGTCTGTTCTCTCCTTGGTCCTAGGGTCATCCAGTCATCAGGCTACCTTTACCTGCCAAGCCATCTCACTAGTCTGATTATTTATTTGTTTACTTATTTAGCTAGTTAGTTAGTTAATTTTTTGGAGACAGGGTCTCTCTGTGTAGTCTTAGTTGTCCTAGAACTCACTCTGTAGACCAAGCTGGCCTCAAACTCAAAGATCCTTTGCCTCCTGAGTGCTGGGATTAAAGGTGTGGACCACTGCCGCCTGGGATGGTTTTTTTTAAAGGTAGGGGAAGGCTAAGCATTCTGAGTTAGTCTGAGTAACGCCTATGGTTTGTATGTATGGAGCCTGTGTCTGTGTGTGTATGTACCACAGAGTTCCAGAGTACAGCTCAGGTGACGAAGCAGGGCTTTCAGGGCTTTGGCTTATAGGCTCATGCCTCACCCTGACACCACCTGACTTAGAGGTGATTAGCACGAGGTGGATCAGGCCGGCCATAATTCCCTGCTGGGATCCTGGGAATCCCACCTTGGGCAGAATCTTCTTAGGAGTCTGTCGGTGAAGCTAGATGAAAGTAATCGGGGGGTGGAGAGTATGTATCCCCAGAAACTTTCCATGTGCTGGCTCTCTCTCTGTTCTTGGCATAAGGCCCATGATACCACCCAGATCAGTGGCAGGCCTACTTCTTAGCACCTTCCCTGGCCTAATAAAGTGAGAACAACAGGGTCTGCCTTCTGGACCAGCTGTTGGTGTGTACTTAATTACTCACGAGGGTCCAGTCCTTTTACTTCTCTAATGGTAGCTGGGTTTCATATGAATAATAAATACTATGAATTTCCTCAAGTGGGGAACTGGCTAGTCCACTAATAGAATCCAGATTTGGAAAAAGGTATTATGGCATAATTTCTTAGAGAATCCTCTACTAAGACAGTGTTTTAAAAGGTAAATTAGGACTAGGGGTGTGGCTCATTTGGTAGTGTTTGCCTAGATCCCCACTTGTGTGTAAACTGGGCATGATGTCACATGCCTGTCATCCTGGGGGAGGTAGAGACAGGAAGGTCAGGGCTAAAGGTTGTCCTTAGCTGCATAGTGTTTGTGTCTATGAGATTCTTCTCTCAAGATGAAATAAATAAGCAAGCAAGCAAGCAAAGGAGCTCAAAGCTATCTTCAACTCTATAGCAAGTTTGAAGCCAGCCTGGGGATACATGAGACCCTGTCTCAAACAAATAAAATAAAATAAAATTTTAACATGACCCCTCTGTCTCAAAGAATAAAATAAAGTGAAAACATTTTAAATTATCTATTTTATGCACTTGGATGGTTTGCCTACATGTGTGTCTTGTCTGTTCACCACATGCCCAGAGGTTAGAAGAGGGTGTTTGGTATCTGGAACTGTGAGCCACCAGGTGGATATTGGGTATGGAACCAGGGCTCGCTGAAAGAACTGCCAGTGCTCTTAACTACTGAGCCAGCTCTAACGTCAAAGTCAAAATTAAAACAGGAAAAAAAAAAGGTGAATTAAAGAGCTTGAGTTATACTTTAGTGTAGAAAAGTACACTTTAGTACCTGCTTAGTGTGCATGATAGACACCCTGAGTTCACTATATCTAGGGTAGAGAAACAAAGATGAAAATGGTGAGTTGAAAAGAACAGATTTTAACTCAATTTCCAGTTTGGTATTTCTTGGTTTTGTTATGTGGAGACAGAGGGAAGCCAAAGTTTCTTTCCTTGGCTCTGCTGTGCCTGTCTAAAGGGGCATTAGAGTGTATCAATGTCTGAATTCATTTTCTGAGTGTCTTTTAAGTCCACTGTTTCTCTTCAGGGCCGGGAGGGGGGAAGCAGAAATGAGGTCCAGGATTGCTGAATGCTGTGTGGTCTCTCTCCTCTGCTGGCTCTGTCACCAGCAGGCTTCACTGCCAGGAAGAGCAGAGGCTCCAGGCGGCCCGTCCAGCTGCCTAAGTTTCCCTTTCCTGGATGGTGCTGAGAAGGGTGTCCTGTTTGAGGTCAGCTGGTTCTGTAGGCATTGGGCTGGGCTGCTTGGGCATGTGGACAATGCAGATGGCAACTCACAATCTGGTCTTTGCTCTTTCTGTAGCTGTAGCATTTGCAAAAAGAAGCAGAATAAACACTTCATTGTTCCGGCGTCTCGGTTCAAACTCCTGAAGGTTAGTACTTTCAAGCAGGGTCTGGGCGGGTGGAGCCCATGTGTAAGGACCCCAGAGCCCCTACCCCATCTTTTGCTATACAGTGTGAGGGGCAGAGAGCTTAGGAGGACCTTTTAAGGGCTTTGAGATGCTTTTTTTCTTCAGCTGGAGTCTCACTGTGTAGCCTAGGCTAGCCTCAAACTTAATGTTCTCCTTACCTAAACCTCCTGAGTACTGCCTTAGTTATTTTTCCTTTACATTTTTTATCTGTTAGTGGGGTGGGCACACGGTACAGCACATGTGGAGGCCAAAGATCAGCTCAGTGGAGCTGGCCCTCTCCTTCCACCTTCCCAGGGTTGTTTAGGGACCAGACCGAAGTTGCCAGGCTTCTGTGGTAAGCACCTCTACCTGTTGAGCCATCTTGCTAGTCCCTTTTGAGTTGATAAATTGTTTTGAGACAGCCAGGCTGGCCTTGAACTCCTGATCCTCCTATTTCTGCCCCCAGAGGGCTGGGATCACAGGCATGAAGGCATGTGCTATGTGCTATTTACATAGTACTATGTACTATGCCTGATTCCTATCTTCCCTTTGTTTTGGAAAGCATATTTGATATTATTGTAGAAACATTTTCAAATACAGAAAGCCAGATCAATTAAAGTCATTTTGAAAACTGAAAAATTATCTGAATAACCTTAAAAAAAGTAAAATCATTCAGTGGTAATCAATACTATTTTTTGACACATGTCCTTATACCTCTCTCTCTCTCTTTCTCTCTCTCTGATTAGAACTCATGTATCTTAGGTTGGCCTTGAACTCCTGATCTGCTGCCTCTATCTGAGCACTGGAATTACTAGTATGTGTCACCATGCCCAGCATATACAGTGCTGGGAATTGAACCTAGGGCTTCATGCATACTAGGCAAGCACTCTACTAACTGAACTATATTTCTGCCCATTTGTACATTATTTATTTATTTATTTTGGTTTTTCGAGACAGGGTTTCTCTGTATTGCTTTGGAGGCCGTCCTGGAACTCACTCGGTAGACCAGGGTGGCCTTGAACTCACAGAGATCCGCCTGGTACATTATTTTTTATATAGGTAAATACATACATCTAAATATGTGCACACTTTTAATCCCAGCATTTAGGAGGCAGAGGCAGGTGGATCTCTGTGAGTTTAGAGCCAGGCTGGTCGACATAGTGAGTTTAGCCAGAGTTACATAATGAATCTTAACAAACAAACAAACAAAATATATGTAGTTGCTTTACAATTATTTTTTTCATAGTGAATTCCTGGCTTGAGTCCAGTTTTTACATTTTTTTTATTATTTTATGTGTATGAATATTTCGCCTGCATGTATATATGTGTGTACCTTTAACATGCCTAGTGTCTGTGGAGGCCAGAAGAGGGCATAAAATTCCCTGGAATTGGAGTTAAGAATGATTGTAAGCCTCCGTGTGGCACAAGGAACTAAACTCAGGTCCTTTTCGAGAGCAACAACTGAGTTATCTCTCCAGCCCCTGAATTTTATTTTATTTACTACCATATGTATGTCTGTAGGCACACAGCCATAGTGCGCTGGTGGAGGTCAGAGGACAACTTACAAGACTAAGTTTTCTCCTATCGTGTGAGTCGTCAGGATTGAACTCAGGTCATAGGTTTGCATGGAGAACTCCTTTACCCACTGACTCAAACTCACCTTTATTTATTTAAGTATGGGATCTTGCTCTGTGGCCTGGACTGCCCAGACTGCCTCCTGGGCTTCTAGTCATTTTTTTTTTTTTTTTTTTGGTTTTTCAAGACAGGGTTTCTCTGTATTGCTTTGGAAGTTGTCCTGGAACTTGCTCTGTAGACCATGCTGGGCTCCCAAGTGCTGGGATTAAAGGTGTGAGCCACCAACACCCGGCCAGGGCTTCTAGTCTTAAGAGAACCTCCTGCTTCAGTCTCCTAAGTACCTACAACTACAAGTACATGCTACCATGCTAGTGTGATTGTCATATATTTTAATCAAAATATTATATAAGACAGTGTGCTGGCTAGATTTATGTTAATTTATCACGAGCCAGTGATAACACTGGGATATAGGCAGGCCTGTAGGACATTTTCTTAATTAGTGTTTGATGTGGAGTGTACAGTCCTTTGTGGGTAGGGCCAATTTGAGCAACATATATTCTGCCTCAAAAAAGTAAATAGAGGGTGTTGAGTGTGTGTGTGTGTGTGTGGGGGGTGATATGTAACTGACTGTCTAGGTGTGATGGCTCACACCTTTAATCCCAGCCCTTAGAAGGCAAAGGTGGACAGATCTCTGTGAGTTTGTGGCTGACCTGGTCTACAGAGTGAATTCCAGGGCTACATAGAGAAATCCTGCCTCCAAAGACAAAAATAAACAAAAACCTGTTCTACCTATAAACTATTTTATCATTTCCTAGTGAAAAAAAACCACATTGTTTTTATTTTTTTTTCCTTTTTATTCAGGGTTGGAGTTGAGCCAAGGGCCTCATGTATACTAGGCAAGTCCTATACCACTGAGCTACATCCCAAACCCAACTGTTTTTATGTTTGATTTCATCACTGTGGACTTGCACAGATCGTCTCCCTCTTCACAAGCCAGTTTCTTGGTTGGCTTATCTCATCATTCTTGAATTTGCAGTGGTGCACTCCTGCCTTGAGTCCATTTAAAACATTATATTATTTTACATGTGGGGGGTGGTTTTGTCTGCGTGTATATCTGTATACTGTATGAGTGCAGTGCCCTTAGCAGCCAGAAGAGGGTAGCAGATCCCCTGGAACTGGAGTTAACGGAGGGTTGTGAGCTGCTATGTGGGTGCTGGAAATCAAGCCGCCTCTGCCTCCTGAGTGCTGGGATTAAAGGCATGTGCCACCACTGCCTGGTGTGCTCTTAACTTTTAAATCATCTCTCCAACCCGCATTTCACTTCCTGAATTATAAACAACATTGTGATGAATTTCCTTGTGTATAAGTCTTTGACATTTTTTCTTTAGAATCAATTCTCTTACAAATAAAATCTCTGGGAAGGAAAATATAAATTTTGTAAGATGCCTTTTTAGCAAACTCTAGATAAATGTGGGGTGGGGCAGGGCTTTAATTCTACCTTCCTCTCCTTCCCTTCCTCTCAGTCTCACAGACTTTGGGAGCCGGCACAAGAACTTGGTACAGAGATTCCTCTCCTTTACTATGAGACTACAGGAGTGTTCAAGGCCAGTCCTACCTATTGCCACGTTTGAGCCAGTTCCTGGCCTGGTGGGGGTTTAGTGTCAAGTCTGCTCTCAGTAGCTCCTGGGAGGAAAGACTGAGTAGATGGCCGAGTGTGTCTTAGTCTTCTCAAGTCAATGAGGGTTTTTTTTCTCTCTCTCAAGATTTATGGCTGGGTGTGGTGGAATACATCTTTAAACCCAGCATCAGGAGGCAGAAGCATTCAGGATCTCTGTGAGTTTGAGGATATCTTGATCTACATAGCAAACTCCAGGACAGTCAGGCCTACAGAGAGAGAACTTTTGTTTCAAAACGGGGAATTTATTTTATGTGTATGGGTGTTTTGTCCGCAAGTATGTATATACACCACGTGTGTGCCTGTTGAATCCCCTGGAGCCCCCATGTGGGTGCTGGGAGTTGAACCCAGGTCCTCTGCAGGAGCAGGAAGCACTCTTAATTGCTAAGCAATTTCTCCAGCCTACCAAGTCTATGAAATTTAATCTTGAATGTGGGAGGCCAGGGTTCCTTTCTTCTTATCTTTCCTCCTTCCCTCTTCCCTGGGGGTCTATGATGGTAAGTAGTCCCTCCTCAGATTCTTGATTGTCTGGAGTAGGGTCGAATGAGCTCCCATCAGCTCTTATGTCTGAGTACATAGTCTGTAATTGGTAGACTGTTAGAAGGGTTAGGAGGTGAGGCCTTGTCTTAGGGCTGCTATTTCTGTGATGAAATACCATGACCAAAGCACCTTGGGGAGGAAAGGGTTTATCTGGCTTACACTTCCATGTCACTGTTCATCATTGAAGGTCAGGACAGGAATTTGAACAGAGTGGGAACCTGGAGGCAGAAGATGATGGAGAAATACTGCTTACTGGCTTGTTCCCCATGGCCTGCTCAACCCTGCTTTCTTATAAAACAGCCTAGGGGTGGCCCCACACATAATGGGCTTGGCCCTCACCTGTCAATCACTAGTTAAGAAAATGCCCTACTGGCTTACCTACAGCTGATTTTATAGAGACTTTTTCCTCAATTGAGGTTCCCTCCTCTCTGATGACACAGGCCTTGTTGGAAGAGATGTGTCGCTGGGGGTGAGCTTTGAGGTTTCAAAGGTCCAGTCTCTCTATCTACTGTTTGTAGATCAGATGTAAGCTCTCAGTTATTGTTCCAGTGCCAGGCCTGCCTGCCCACAAGCTCCCCACCATGAAGAGCAACGACTCACCCCTTGCAGCTGTAAGCAAGCCCTCATTTCAGTGCTTCCTTTCATAAGCTGCCTTGGCCATGGTGTCTCCTCACAGCAGTAGAACCATAAATAAGGCAGCGAGAGAACAGATATACATCCACTTTGTGTCTTTTTCTTTGTCTCTGTCTTTGTCCCTATACTTTTGTCTATACCTCTGTCCACATCACAGAAGGTGTGGTATGGGTGTCCGTTGGTAAAGAGCCCAGGGATCCTTCTTCATCTGTCCCACAGGACAGAAGGGCACTGACATGTAGCCTGTCCTCAACCTCGTTCCTATGCTCCTGCAGCAGGCAGCTCCTGAAGATACTAGCAGGTGCAGTCTGGGTGGGGAATTGGTCCTCTGTTTTCTTCCTCGACAGTCTTGTGCACGTCTTTCCTGGTGCTCTGTGGCATACTTCTTTACTAGGCTTCTCCATGTCCTGGTGCTCCAGGACAACGTCCTCTCTTGATTTGTTCATACTCCTCCTGTTGGCTAGTTGGAAGCTGGATCTACAAGTCTGGATACAACAGAGATGGAATCATGAACCTAGGAGTTCTTGCACACTTGTCTCTATGTCTTGGAGCATAGGAGGTCAGCGGTGTAAAGGTATCCAGGGCAAGGAGAAGGAAGACAGTTCAGGCCTGCCTGTGAGTAGTTTTCAGTACAGAAAGGAAGTAGGCCATAGAGGAAATAAACACAGAAGTGTGGTGTACTCAGTGGCCAGTGCTTTACAGTGGAATGCTGTAGAGTAATGTTAGAAAGGATTCAGTGGTCCAAAGCATGGTTGTAGGCCAACAGTGCTAACTTGGTAACCTGAGCTTGATCTCAGGAACCCATCTATAGATGAAAGGAGATAGATGACCACTGAAGTTGTTTTTTGGCCACACATGGGCCATGGCATGCATGCCCCCCCCACCATAATCATACATACTCACATACAGATGGAAAATGAAATTTATTGAAAGGTGACCATTTGGCGGTGATGGCGCACGCCTTTAATCTCAGCACTCAGGAGGCAGAGGTAGGCGGATTTCTATGAGTTTGAGACCAGCCTGGTCTACAAGAGCTGGTTCCAGGACAGCCTCCAAAGCCACAAAGAAACCCTGTCTCGAAAAACAAAACAAAAAACCAAAAACAACAACAACAACAAAAATGACCATTTGGGACTGTAGTTCTGAGAGAGTGTGTCCCTTCTCCAATGCATGAATCTCTAGGTTCAATTCTAGAACTGCTTAAAAAAAGAGAGAGAGAGAGAAACAAGGAAAATGATAGTCATTGGATTGGTGTTTTCTGCCTGCCCATAAGTCAAGGAGTGACCCATGTGGAAAATATTCTTTTCCTAAGCAAGACTCACTGTGATCGTCCTGGAACTCACTCTGTAGACCAGGCTGGCCTCAAACCCACAGAATATGCCTGCCTCTGCCTCCTGAGTGCTGGGACTAAAGGTGTGCACCACCACACCTGGTTCCATGTGGCAGATTTTGATGATGACAGGCCATGCATTCTAGTGACGAGCAGTGCACATGTGATCAAGTTGGTGGTGCATAGATGAAGAGGATCTGGGTATCACTGGGTGACATAGTGGTAAGTGAGGTCAGGTAGGGTGTCAGGGTCGTTGCTGACCCTGGTAGCAATGCACCAAGTTGTGAGCCAGAATAGCCGGCGGAGCTATTTTTATAGGAAGTTCTTGGTGTGCACACGTAGCTCCAATTAAAACAAACAAACAAAAACCTTAGGAAACTCAGTGTTTGAGACTTTCTTGTGGTAGACGGCATGCAGTGGCCTGCAAGGAATTATGGGAGAAATGTGAAATGTATAATAGTAATGAGAAGTCTCATCCACCCCTGTGTAAAACATTTTTAGATCGAGGCTGGAATTAACTCAGTGGTTGAGAGCCGGTGCTGCTTTTGCAGAGGACCTGAGTTTGAATCCCAGGACCCAGTGCTTCTGGCTTCCAAAAACACTAACAAATATGTACACATAATTAAAAATAAATCTTCAAAAATGCTAATACATTTTTTGCCGGGCGTTGGTGGTGCACACCTTCAATCTAAGCACTTGGGAGGCAGAAGCAGGTGAATCTCTGTGAGTTCAAACCCAGCCTGGTCTCCAGAGCATGTTCTAGGACAGGCTCCAAAGCAATGCAGAGAAACCCTGTCTCAAAAAACCAAAACAAACAAACAAAAATGATAAAACATTTTTAGGGGCTTGGAGAGATGACTCAGAGATTAAGAGCACTTACTGCTCTTTCAGAGAACCTGGGTTCAATTCCTAGCACCCACATGCTGATTCACTGCCATCCATAATGTATGTGTGAGTGTGTGCGTCTCTGCATTTATGTGTCTACATGACTGGGAACATATGCAGAAGTCCACAGGGAAAACATTAGAACCCTTAAAGCAGGAGTTACAGGACATTGTCCAACGTATGTGCTAGGATATGAATTCTGGTCCTCATGATTGGGAGCGAACCGTTATCCCCTCCCTCTTTTTCATGCTGGAACTGATTCTGGGGCCTCGTGTGCACTAACATGCCCACATGGGCTCCACCATGTGCCATACCTCCAACCCATGTTTTACATCTTGTGTTTTTTGCTTTGGACCCTTGGAGATTTTAGTGCTGTTGAGTATTTATAAGCACTCTTCTTTTTTTTTTAGTTTCTATTTTGGTTTTTCAACATGGGGTTTCTCTGTGACTTTGGAGGCTGTCCTGGAAGTCTCTCTGTAGACCAGGCTGGCCTCGAACTCATAGAGATCCACCTGCCTCTGCCTCCCGAGTGCTGGAATTAAAGGCGTGCGCCGCCACCACCTGGTCCATTGTGATTTTGAACAATTCTTTGTTTATTTTCATTTCATGTGCATTGGTGTTTTTCCTGAATGTATGTCTTTGAGGGCATCAGATCCTCGGGAACTGGAGCCACAGACAGCCATGAGCTGCCATGTGGGTGCTGGGCCCTCTTGAAGAGCAACCAATGCTCCCAAATGCTGAGCCATCCTCTCTAGTCTCTACCATTGTGGTTTTTAAAAATAAAAACAAAGATATGCTGAGTCATCCTCTCTAGTCTCTACCATTGTGGTTTTTAAAAATAAAAACAAAGATTTATTTGTATTTTTATGTGTTTGTATATGTATGCCTGCATTGTTAGTAGGCACATGTACTCGCCAGTGCCCATGGAGTTCAGAAGAGATTTTTAGATCAGTCAATTTTAATTTGTGTGTGTGTCACGTGAGTGCAGGTGTCTGGGATGGCTAGAGGCACTGGCTCTCTGGAGCAGGGGTTATAGGTAGTTTTGAGCCACCCAATGTTGGTGCTGGCAACAGAAGTCTCAGGTCCTCTGCAAAAGCAATATGTGCTAACTGCTGAGCCATCTCTCCAGCCTCCCATTTGTGATTTTTTAAAATCCTTTTCACCAAGTTCTAAGTATTTTGTTGTAGCTCATCAGTGTAAGCATCATTTCATATGTACTTTTCTTTCTCTCAGCTGTCCATTCATATACTTTGCCTGTTTTTTCATTCATATTGTCCTTTAAGAAAACTAACCCTGCCGGGCTGTGGTGACACACATTTTAATCCCAGCTCTTGGGAGGCAGAGACAAGCTGATCTCTGTGAGTTTCAGGCCAGCCTGATCTACAGAGCGAGTTCCAGGACAGCTAGGGCTAAACAGAGAAATCCTGTCTTGAAAAACCAAAAACACACAAACAAAAAACTAACCCTTTGTCTATGACATGTGGCAAAGAGTTTTTTTTCCTAGTTTTTCCTTTATAAATAATTCAGGTATAGTCAGTAGTGTCCTCCAGATCTTGAGCAGTGCCTTTTGGGGACATGGAGAGGCAGTCCCTTGGGTAAGTGGCCCTGGGAAGCAGACACCTGTACTCCCTGACTCTTAGAAGGTATTCTGTGTTAGCATAGAGGGTATTCTGTGTTAGTGTGCATCAACTTGAGGTTGGGTTGTTCAGTGTCCAGTTGGGATAGGAGGGCTGTCGGGCTCCAGAGAGAATTGTGTCTAGGATGTACAGATGGTCCATGCCTTAAAGAAGCTTTCAGGCTTTTCTAGGAAGTGGGAGCCCTCTCCATAACCCGGAGAACTCTACAAAAGGGTACCCCCACTAATCCTCTTGAAAGATTACTTTTAATGACATTAACTGATCTCCTTGCCCATTTGTTTCTGTTCTCCCAGGGCGCTGAGAGCATAACCACATACACGTTCAACACACACAAAGCCCAGCACACCTTCTGTAAGAGATGTGGTGTTCAGAGCTTCTACACTCCACGTTCCAACCCCGGAGGCTTTGGTGAGTGAAGGGAGTGTCGTGGGCTTAAGACCCTGAGAAACCTAGGGTGCTGGTTGGGCAACTGGGCCCTGGCATGTGTCAGAAGAACAAGGTTCCTCTGATGGGTCCTGGTCAAGTGTCTGGACATAATAAGGTAATGGTTTTCAGAGTCTATCTGTAGGTGGTTCTTTTTGTTTTGTTTTGTTTTGTTTTTTGTTTTTTGAGACAGGGTTTCTCTGTATTGTTTTGGAGGTTGTCCTGGAACTTGCTTTGTAGACCAGGCTGGCCTCAAATTCACAGAGTTCTGCCTGCCTCTGCCTCCCAAGTGCTGGGATTAAAGGCATGCGCCACCAACGCCTGGCGTTGGTTCTTATTCCCTGGTACTACAGAACTGAGGGGAGACCCTACAAGGTAGAGAGAAGATAGGTGGAACAGGGCTGGAGAGATGGCTCAGTGGTTAAGAGTATGGCTGCTCCTCCAGAGGACTGGGGTTCGATTCCTAGTCTCAGTCTATCTGTAATTCCAGTCTTGGGGATCTGGCATCTTCCTCTGGTCTCTGTGGACACTGTATGCATGTGGTATATGCAGGCTACACACAGACAAATATTATTTGTTTATTTATTTATTTTGGTTTTTTTGAGACAGGGTTTCTCTGTATTGCTTTGGAGCCTGTCCTGGAACTTGCTCTATAGACTAGAGTGGCCTCGAACTCACAGAGATTCACCTGCCTCTGCCTCCCGAGTGCTGGGATTAAAGGCTTATGCCACCAATGCCCTGCTCACAGATACATATTAAATAAATAAATTAAAAATATGGGTGGGAAATGGGCCTGTGGGTTCAGGGGAGGCCACTGGAATAATGATGGGTAAAGGGAGGGAAGAGGCCAGAACGATGGCTGTTGCTATTATTTGAAAACAAAATTAAGGGCTGTGGCTGTAGCTCAGCGGTAGTGAGCATTTGCCTGGCATGCATGATCTTCACTCCACTCCTAAATAGATAGATGAAAAGATTTTGATTTGGTTTGTTAAAAAAAGAAAAAAGAGCCAGGTGTAGTGGCACATACCTTTGATCCCAGCACTTGGGATGCCGAGGTAGGTGGATCTCTGTGAATTCGAGGCCAGCCTGGTCTACAAAGTGAGCTCTAGGACAGCCAGGGCCACACAGAGAAACCCTGTCTTGAAAAACCAAAACCAACCAACCAAATAAGGAAGCAAGAAAACCAGGTGGTGGTGCATATCCATAATTCCAGCCCTTGACAGGTAGAGGCAGAGTTGTCAAATGTTCAAGGTCATTTTTCACATAGCTAGCTTAGTTTGTGGTAAGGCCGGACACCCTGTCTCAAAAGATGGGGAACTAGAGAGTCAGCTCAGTGGTTAAGATCACTTGCTGATCTTGCAGAGGACCTGAGTTTGGTTTCCAGCACCAAAAGGTAGCTCAGTTCTGTCTGTAATCTCAGGGGTCCAGGCCCTCTGTTGTTCTCCACAGGCACCAGGCACACACATGCGTGTTCACAGACACAATACATCCATACATAGACTTTATTTATTTATTTAGGTTTTTTTTTTTTTTGAGATAGGGTTTCTCAGTGTCACAGGCCTAGCTGTCCTGGGATCTGATTTGTAGATCAGGCTGGCCTTGAACTCACAGAGATCTGCCTGCCTCTGCCTCCTGAGTACTGGGATTAAAGACATGTTCCACCACTGCCCAGCAAATATATACTTTTAAAAAGAAGCAAGAAGAGCCTTTAGAGCCTTCTTGAAGCCCTGCTTGACCTGGAGGTGGGATGGATACAATCAGCCCTTAGGCAGAGTAAAATGAGGCTGGCATGTTCCCATGTCATAGCTGCTGGAGCTGACTGTACCACGGAGAGGAGAAGGTAGGACATCATGCCAGTCTCTCTACCCTGTGTCTTCAGCAGCTCCTGCTGGTTCCTGATTCCTGGTTACCTTGAAACAGGAAAGGGTTTTTTGTTGTTGTTTATTTGTGGGATTGTTTTGTGTGGGTTTGGTTTGGAGACTGTCTTAATGTAGTCCAGGCTAGCCTCCTGGCAGGCCTCTTGCTTCTGCCACCTGATTGATGAGATTAAGGCACGTGCCACCATGCCTGCTTTTAATAGTTACAAAGTCCTGTATAAATTAGGAACTATCTAATTCTTTATCTATCTAACCCCAGGAAAGTCTTGAGAGTTGGGCCAGGCCTGAACCCTCCTAATACTTTCCACATTCAGCCCCACCCACTTCCCTTGTGCTGGGGATTGACCACAGGTCCTTATACGTATTGGCAAGTACTCTGTCTCTGAGCTGTCCCAGGCCTCAGAGGTTTTGAATGCTGACTGGCATTGGCTGACCCTCATTCAGGGTATCTGACCTTCACATGACAGGTGAGGACCAGAAGACAGAAGTCATAGGCCGAGCTAGAACCTTCTTAGTGTATATCAGCAGGCCACACAGCCTTATAAGCCAAGGTGGCAAGCTGCAGCATGCCATTTAGCTAAGTTAGCTCACCTGTGGGTAAAGGTGCTCGAGCGTGAGGGCTTGTCTGATATATTCTCTGGTCCTCTCTCTGTTCCACTTGCCCCTAGGAATCGCCCCCCACTGCCTTGATGAAGGCACTGTTCGGAGTGTGGTCACCGAGGAATTCAATGGCAGTGACTGGGAAAGAGCCATGAAGGAGCACAAGACCATCAAGAACATGTCTAAAGAGTGAGCTCATGCTTCCTCCTTCCCAACAGGGAGCGAGCAGTTGCTGTGCAGACCTGGGCCGCCATCTCCACTCCCAATGTCCCTGCGGTTTGCCACCATTTCTTTAGGCAGCTCTGCCCTTAGCCCAGATTTCATGTGAGACAGCTGACCTTCTCCCTTCCCACCGACTTTTATGTGATATTTTAGAGAATAAACATTTCTGACATTAACGCTATTACTGTGGCCCCTCATTCTTTTGAACTTTGACTTTTGCCTCTGAGGCCTGTCACTTAACAGCAGACTAAAATAGTGAGCACAGATAAGACACCTGCAGCCAAACCGAGAAGAAGAAAGATGGGAACAGCAGTCAGAGCCGGAAGACTGAATGACAGCCGTCCGTGTGAGTTGTGAAGATGTGGACTCCCGGTGCTCCTGGGGCCCAGACCTAGGAAGGCTGGGCCAGGAGCACTCTGGGCTTGAACTTTTGGTTTTGTCTTATCCATGTATTTGTTTAATTTGTCATGGTGGACTCTCTTTCTGTCTTTTGATAGGTTCATTATGTGACCTGGGACTCAACACCTCTGCCTCTGCCTCCTGCATGCGAGGCTATAGGCATGCGCTAATAATGTGCCTGTCCACACTTGTTTTTTAATAAGGTACATCAGCTTCTTTGTTTGTTTGGATTTTCTGCTGTCGCCTGCTGTGGTTAGCAGCCAGGGCTACATGCATGCTGGGTAACAGCCTTGGTCACTTCTGTTATCGCTTTAATTGTGGTTAGATAGGTGTAACATAAAATGTAGCATCTTAACCACACACAGGGATACAACACAGATCATACATGTTCACATACCACACATTTACATCAAAAATGAAAAGAAAACAGCATTGAAAAAGGAAGATTTGGATAGTCACTGATTGAGGTTTTAGTATCATAAGTTTGGCTTTTATTATAAGAGTATTAGGAAATTGAAAGCAGATTTGAACAAGACAAATACAACCAGCCTGTTGTGCAAAACTTTTCATGTAATACACACATTTATTAAACACTTAATATTTTCCAGAAACTTTAATATTTAAAATAGTTGAGTAGCCTGGCGGTGGTGGTGCACGAATCCCAGCACTCCTTCAGGACGCAGAGGCAGGTGGATCTCTGTGAATTGGAGGCCAGCCTCGTCTACAGAGTGAGTTCCAGGATGGCCAGGACTACACAGAGAAACCCTGTCTTGAAAAACCAAAATAAATAAAGTAGTTGAGTAACTCATTCAATTAATCTTTTCTTCTTAAAATTAGCAAAGTATTTGGTTTCATTACAGCACATGTCCCTGTGTGATGTAATCTGCCTTACAAATCACCTCTTTAGTTTTATTAAGACAAAGAGTAAATGTTTGTTAACTCCTCCAGTATGTTCAATGCTTAACAATTAAACAGATTTTGTTTTTGTTTTTCAAGACAGGGTTTTTCCGTGTAGCTTTGGACCCTGTCCTGGAACTCACTCTGTATACCAGACTGGCCTTGAACTCACAGAGATCCACCTGCCTCTGCCTCCTGAGTGCTGGAATTAAAGGTGTGCACCATTGCCCAGCAGTTAAATGCTTTTTTTAAATTAAATTAAATTTCTTTTTCGAGTCAGGGTTTCTCTGTGGCTTTGGAGGCTGTCCTGGAACTCGCTCTTGTAGACCAGGTTAGTCTCAAACTCACAGAGATCCACCTGCCTCTGCCTCCCGAGTGCTGGGATTAAAGGTGAGCACCACTAATGCCCGGTAAATGGATCTTTGAGAAAGCTGCATGATGGAAATGTAAAGGACACAGACAAGGAGCCAATAGAAACTCTTCAGGGGAAGAGTCACCAAGACAGTCACATCAGCAAATATCATAATTACAGTCCAGAGGCTGAATTCTCTTGCCTCTGAAGCCTAACAACCTGAGCTAGATCCCAGGAACCCATGGTAGGAGGAGAGAACATGCTCCTGAAAGTTGTCCTCTGACTCCATGTGTTCGCAGGGTTGACTGCACATCGACAAGCTAGGGGAAGGGAATAAAGACAAGTTTCTTGGCTTGTTGGGAGAAATCCACATTGTTATGACCTGGTCAAAGTCATCCAGTCCTAGTTTACAGTTTCAGAGGTTTAGTCCATTGTCATCATGGTGGCCACAGGCAGACACGGTGCTGGAGAAGGAGCTGAGAGCTCTACATCTTGATCCACAGGCAACAGGGAGTGAACTGGGTCAAGTTTAAGCATAGGAGACCTCAAAGCCCTGCTCCTATAGTGGCACACTTCCTCTAACAAGGCCACACCTCCTAATAGTGCCACTCCATTTGGGGGTCATTTTTTTTCAAACTACCACAGTGTCGACCATTTGTTCTCGTCTGTTTAAAAAACATTTTTATTTATACTGTATGTCTTCCACAGCTTGCCCAGAAGTCAGAGGACAGCTTGCAGAGTCAGCCCTTTCCTTTACTATGTATTGATGGATATTTGATCACACTGTGAACCCTGAGATTGCATTATTTAAATAAAATCAACCATTGGTCAAGAGGCAGAGCAAGCGACCAGCTGACTGGAAGTAACTATAGAGAATGAGGGGGGTCGAAGTGGAGGGAAGCACAGGAAGTAGAAGGGAGGGATTGTAAGAGAAACTGTAGCCAGCCTACCCAATCCGCAGGCGCCCAGGCCAGCCTGCATAAGCATGAGAGGCAGGCACTTCCTCCCTAAGCCAAGCCTGCCTCTACACCAGAGACTGCTGATGAGGAGACACCTGACCCAGAGACACCAATGAGGAAAGAACAAGACAGCAGAGGCAGCTGCCTGAGTCAGCAGGACCTTGGGAGAGCATGTAACGGCAAGTCTAACTTAATGAATCTGCAGCATGCTCTGCAACTCACTGACTCCCTGTGTTTGAGGTGGTGCTGCATCTTCTCACCCCCTTCCCCAAGGGGTGTCCGAGCAGGGTCACCCACAACAAGGAACATCCAGTTGGAAGAATTTTGTTTCAGATGGCGTAGAAAGGAACTTTCTTTCTGAAACAAAGGCAGAAGAGGAAGGGCACCACGTTGTTTTCTCTGCCTCTCTGAGCTAGCAGGTTTTCACCCCAGCATCTGGCTCCCAAGTCTTTATAGGTAAAATAAAAGGGTAGAGAGTTAGTCAAAAGCATTTGTCTCCCTAGGTGGAGGTGGCTGAGGCAGGGGCGGAGGCAGCTTCCGTGAAACTGGCAGGCTCCCTGAGGCCACAGCCTCAGCAGCGAGGCAGAGCAGGCTGCAAAGTGTAGTCAGCAGTGTGGTAGCAGCAGGTTCATGTGCAACTGCTGTGCAGCAGATATAAAAACTGCAGGCATGTGTGTTTGGAGGTTGAACTTAGGGTATCATACATGGTGGCAAGCACCTTTGCTCACTGGTTAAGCCTATGTTCTTTATTTTGACACAGCATCTCACCATGTAGTCCTTGCTGCCCCAGAACTGACCTTGAATGTAGGGACAGGCCTGTTTCTGCCCCTAGTGCTGGGACTAAAGGGGGTGATGGCTGATCTTTGCTGTCAACTTGACTATATTTGGAATTGACTAAAACCTAAGCAGCTGTGGGAGATTTACTTGGTTGGACCATTTAAGGTAGGAGGACTAGCTTTGTGAGTGGTCCTGAATCTCTTGCACAGTTTTCTTACAGTTCCTTCTAAAGCCAGACAGCTATCTGCCATAGGAAGTCAGGATCAGGACACAGGAGACCTGAAGGTGTCTGTAGTTACTTTTCTATTGTTATGACAAAACACCATGACCAAGAAACTTACAAAAGAAAATATTTAATTTTGCTTATGTTTTCAGTGGGTTTGAGTTCATGGCAGAACAAAGCCTGGTGGTAGGAACTTCCTAGAGTTCACATCTTAACTTACAAGCATGAGGCAGAAAGAGAGAAAGAGACTAGACCTGGCATGGGCTTTTAAAACCTCAAAGCCCCAGGGGCACACATCCCACAAGGCCACACCTCCTAATCCTTCCCAAACAGTTCTACCAAATGGGGATCAGATATTCAAACATAGGACCCTGTGGGAGCCCATTTTTCATTCCAACCACGGTGGTGCTCACTACCAAGGCTCAAAGACACTGATTTCCAGTTCCCATGTGGCAATTCATCCTTATTTATGAATTGATTGTGCCCTATTTATCAAGTTGTGGCTGGGATTTGTGATATTCTGATACTGGCTTAGGAAATTACCCATTTCCACTAAACTTCCTGCTTGGTTGCCATGGGATTGTAAATACATTTTTTTCAGTGGTGATTTATCTGTTCTGTCTTAGAAACCACTTCTGCTTCCTCTTTTTATTTAGCATTTCCATATGTTGGCTTATTCTCTGTCTGTCTATCTCTCTGTCTCTTTCTCTCTGAGCTGAGGACTGAACCTATGGCCTTGTGCTTGCAGGACTCTACCGCTGAGCTAAATCCCTAACTCCATCTTATTTTATTTCATTTCTCAAAGAAAACTTATTATCCTTTCTACTATTTTCTGTGGTACCTATTATTAGTGGTCATCTGTAAATAAGCCTTCCTTCTGGTTTATGGTGTTGACTTTCTGAGATTGAATCCTGTAGTTAATTTGTTTTCCAGTTAAAAAAATATTTATTTATTTATTTATTTTGGTTTTTTGAGACAGGGTTTCTCTGTATTGTTTTGGAGCTGTCCTGGATCTTACTCTGTAAATCAGGCTGGCCTAGAACTCACAGAGATCCACCTGCCTCTGCCTCCTGAGTGCTGGGATTAAAGGCGTGCGCCACCACCGCCTGACAATTTATTTTTGTTTTATGTGCATCAGTCTTTGCCTGCATGCATATCTGTGTGAGGGTGTCAGAACCACCGGAATTGGAGTTACAGACAGTTGTGAGCTGCCATGTAGGTGCTAGGAGTTGAACCCCGGGTACTGTGGAAGAGCAGCCGGTGCTCCTAACTGCCGAGCCACCTGTCTCTCCAGCCCCGCCTTTTTTCTTTTTCTTTGTTTTTTGTTTGTTTGTTTTTTCAAGACAGGGTTTCTCTATGGCTTTGGAGACCAGGCTGGCCTCGAACTCACAGAGATCCACCTGCCTCTGCCTCCCAAGTGCTGGGATTAAAGGCATGCGCCACCAACGCCCGGCCTTTTTCTTTTTTTTTTTTAATGAAAGAATTTAAAGACTACAGAGTGCCTACAGGTCCACATGGGTAAAGTTCTTATTTATAGATAATGTGGTGTGTGTGTGTGTGTGTGTGTATCTGAA